AAGTTTTTTTTTTTTTTTTTGATCAAAAGTGACAATAAAGACGTTTTTCATCTTTCTATTAATTCTATTTCTATTTATCATGGTTTCCACAAAAATATTAAGCAGCCCAACTGTTTTCAACAATGATAATAATAAGAAAAGAAGTGTTTCTTGAGCAGCAAATCAGCATTTTACAATGATTTCTGAAGGATCATGTGACACTGAAGACTGGAGTAATGATGCTGAAATTGCAGCTTTGCATCTCAGCAATAAATTACATTTTAAAATATATTCAAATAGAAAACAGTTCATTTAAATTATAATAATATTTCCACAATATTACTGTTTTTACTGTTGTTTTATTAAAATGAATGCAGCGTTTGTGAGCATGAGATAAAAAAAAAATTGTGCATCAGTCAGTACTTTGAAAATGAAGCCAGTGCTCATAGTTTCAGTGTATGTTGACTACTACTACACAATTAATCAAAAATGCTACAGAAGGGAGTTTTAGGTCACCTGACATATTTCACCTAGTGGAAGCGCTTAGACATTAAATTGCCAGATAAAAATATTAATATATAAAAATATATGGATGAATTTGTGCTCCAGCTCTATCCTGTAGGCACACTGTTTTAATATAAAATAATGGGAGACCCAGAGGACACCCTTGGTTTGAAAGGCAGTTTATGATCAGAGTTGTATTTCACACATCTTTGAAGCAGGGGTGAGTATTTCATCTGATATGTGCTGCTGTTTTCTGGCACATCGCAGATAGCTCGGCAGGATATCCCCCCGACTTCTGACAAGAGCAGCGTGAGTGTGGTCTCTGCGTGTTCACACGTGTGTGCCTAACTCTCTTCACATGTACATGTGTTTTCAAGTGTGTGTCACTGCCAGCGAGAGGAGCTAATTTACTGCCTCACTTCCACAAATTCTTCCAGCTGCACACATCTGCCACGGGCTGCATTACAGACGGTTTCCGCCCGCTCATCCCCCTTGAACCCTGGCCAGGAAGCTCCAATCATCTCCCCGTTCATTAGTGGTCTCTAGTGATACCTCTCTCTCTTTTTCTCTCTCAGTGCGGTCTGTGTTCTGAGAGGTCTTTGTGTATCTGAATACTTTGACCGTCATGTTCCCCTAAGCCCCGCCCACATCTGCTGGCTGCAACCAATGCGATGGCTTGAGTTGTTCATTTGCATTTTATAGTTATGAGTGTTGTGCCAATAAAAAGCATTTCCAGGGATTACTTTGTATTGCAACCTTGTTCACTGACAAGATGTGATGTGATCTGATCCGCTCAGACAGACACCGAACGCCTCTCTGTTTCTGTTCTCAACATGCCAGGTCCTGAATTCTCCTGCAGTCTTAATAACAAACACCACAGTAAATAGATAAATCTCACGAAACCTGTCAGGAACACATCCGTTCACATTTAAATAAAAGAAATCCTGTACATAACGATTTAATTTAAGCAAAATATCTGGTTTTCTTTTTGTACTTTTTGTGTGTGTGTGTAATGTAACCTGTACATGTTCTTGACAGGTTTTGTGAGATTCACCAAAATGAATTGCATTTAAAAAAAAAAAAATCATTATCAGTTGATTTGACAATATAAAACTTTTTTGTTTGATCTGAAAAGTATTACAGTTTAAAGACTAGTTTAACTAGACAGACCTTTAAATGGTAGCCACTAGCCAGACACTTGACTAAATGACAAAAAATAAAATACATAATGCAGATCTCTGTGAAAAAAGGTGACTTTTTCTTATATAAAGCCTCTGTGAGCATTTGTACAGAATATACATGAAAAAGAGCAGAAAATGACTGTTAGTACAGACTTTTACAGACATTAATAAGAGAACAACGCAGAAAATACTGCATAATTCCTCTTGAATATACACTGTTGTTTTTATACTTGGGGTCATAAGGTTATGACTGAAAAGTAGTTCGACCAATAGCATGCAGGCATTGTACAGAATCGACCAATCATGGCGTGCAAAAAGGTGGGATTTACAGATAATGATGCAAAAAGCAATGCAAATACAAAGACATATAGGCCCGGTTTAGACAGGGCTTAGCCTAAACCAGGATTAGGCCATAGTTCAATCAGGACATTTAAGTAATTTTTATAAACATGCCTTAGAAAAAAGCATTACTGGTGTGCATCCTAAGACAAAGCAAAGACACTGACATGTTTGAAGATCAGTCAGTGCAAGTTTCTTTCAGTTGAAACAGCTCAGATTTACATTTTAGTCTAGGACTAGGCTTAAGCCTTGTTTGTGAAACCGGGGGATAATGTATGACTATAGAGAGCATGTGAATAGGAAAACAAAGCCAAAACCTGCACATTTTAGGCAGTTTAGACATAAAAGAGGATGTATGGTTACCCTAATATATAGTATTCCTAAAAAGTGTGTTGTGCCAGCCAGTTCCTTGTAAACTCGACTTGATTTCCAAAGAAGAATTGATAAAAATATATACGCCCTTACTGCTGACAGTGTAAATTCAAAAATCTGATTATAGCTTGTTAGATTAACAATGTGTTCCAGTTTTGTGTGCAATATGTAGCCTTTCCTCTAATGTCCATTTTCTTTCCTTACAGGTGCAGTCCTCCGTCGCTGTGGGCACACCAGACTACATCTCTCCTGAGATCCTGCAGGCCATGGAGGACGGGAAAGGGAAATATGGCCCGGAATGTGACTGGTGGTCACTGGGCGTCTGCATGTATGAGATGCTGTATGGGGAAACTCCTTTCTATGCCGAGTCCCTGGTGGAAACGTATGGCAAGATTATGAACCACAAGGTGCAGAATAACGCACAATAACACTTGACACACAACAAGCATTTTTATCAGTCAAGTACTATAGTTCATTAGCGATATAATTTTTTTAAATTATATTGAAAACCTAATAATGTGTCTCTTTTTAAAGTGGTTTTGTGTTTTTACCTTGTGTTTCCCGCAGGAGCGGTTCCAGTTTCCTGCTCATGTGACGGACGTCTCTGAAAATGCCAAAGACCTGATCCGTAGACTCATCTGCTGCAGAGAGCACAGGTTGGGTCAGAATGGCATTGAGGACTTCAAACAGCACCCTTTCTTTTCCGGCATTGACTGGCAGAACATCCTCAAATGTGACGCCCCCTACATCCCTGAAGTCAGCAGCCCATCTGACACATCAAACTTTGATGTGGATGACGACTGCCTCAAGAACACGGTAGAGTTTTAGACATACCATAATAAGATCACTCATTGCTGGGTTTGAACCCACAACCTTTTGTGTTTCAACCCAGATTGTACCAAAATGCTAAAGATGCAATTTACGATCCCTGCTCTGTTTTAGGAGACAATGCCGCCTCCTTCCCACACCGCCTTCTCAGGACACCATCTCCCATTTGTAGGTTTCACCTACACCAGCAGCTGGTAAGATATCACTGTAAAACTCAACTGAGATGATCTTGCATGAGGTTTAGTTTCAAATTCCCTCTCTGTTTAACCAAATGTGGGTCAGTATGACCCACATTTGATATTCAAACTGCTTGAAACACTGGTTAAACTATTTATTTCACTACTTATCGACACATAGATCACTATTGGAAAGACTGTACAAATTTTGTCAAATTGATCCTCCACTGCCAAAAACATTTTGAAAAACAGAAGAGCTTATCAAACACTAAAATATTAAATACGTGAGAAAATGAAAACTCAAAGTTTACTTGAAATGGAAGACTTGTCTTCTTAATCATCAAAGGAAAATTGACTGTTTCTTTATCTAGTTGAGTTTCTGTCTATCTGTTGAGGGCTGTTTTAGGTTGCTATATTTTTGCATCTCATTTACTGGATTACTGCATTGAAAAGAAGTTTAAGAAAATAAGTGTGTCAAATTGACACCTAACACAATAGAAATAGATGGGAATTATTTCATTTCTCAAATATTTTATATTTTTATTCTCTGACAAGCTGCAGTAGATGTTTTCTCGTCTTTGCATGAATCTTTAGTGTTTTTCATTTTGTCAATTTTTGTCAATTTGGACACCAATATAGGTCAATTTGACCCATAACACAAAAGTTGTTCTCAGTATTTTAACATGGTATGGTTAAAACAAAAAACAGCCTTATGAGTCTTTATTGTGATCATTTGACCGTGTTTTCTCCTACAGTACGCTGTCTGACCGTGGTTGCTTGCGGGAGTCTGCTGCACCTGCGCAAATGGATGTGTCCGTGCAGCGCGGCCTGGAAGACAGTCTGGCTACTGAGGCGTACGAGCGGAGGATCTGCCGTCTGGAGCAGGAGAAGCTGGAGCTCAGTCGCAAACTACAAGGTGTCTCTCCGTCTTACATGTCGAGTGACAATCCCCAAAAATGAATTCTCTGCCTGGCTGACAGCTAAAATGTCTTCTGGCCTTCAGAGTCCACAAAAACAGTTCAGGCGCTGCAATACTCCAGCGGGGACGGGCCTGTTTCCTCCAGCAGAGAGTTTGAGATCCGTGGACTGAAGGAGGAGATAGAAATGCTGAGGAAACAGATCGCTGGTAATCTCAATCGCTACATATAAACATGCATCATGCAATTGTCTCATGTAACCAGACATTAGTTTTGACGATCAACCAAATGTTGTTTTTTACATGACGTTTGCAGTTGTGTTTCAAATGAAATAAAAAAAGACACTATATTTTTACTTCCTCACATTATTGTTTGTGCTTCTAGTTTAGTTTTTTCTAGTCTCTCTCCTCCTTTTCTTCCCTTTCAGATACAGGACAGGTGGAGCAGCAGTTAGAACAGGCCAGTCCTGCCCGCAGGGATCTGGACGACTCCTCCAAACAGATCCGATCTCTGGAGAAACAGCTCAAGAGCATGAAGCAGGAGAGAGATAACCTGCAGAAGGTACAGAAGAAACTGCAGCTTCACACAAGCAATTCCTCTCACTAGCAAAGTGCCTTGCTGCATAGATTTGTTTGAAAAGGCACAATTAATCAAAAGCTTTTAATTTAATTATTTTAATTTTGCATTTACTACTAATAATAATGTATTTGCTGCTACTGCTACTGCTACTACTACTAATAATCATAAAAAAAGCATCATTATTAAAATAAATAAATTCTATATTATTATTAAAAATAATATAATTATTAAACAACAACAACCACAATATAGTAAGACTCAAATGTTCAATAAATAAGTAGGTTGTTTGTAATAATCACAAGTCTGTATGAAGTAATTATTTATAAATTATTTAAATTTCATTTACATTTTATTTTTATTCTGATAATGCACAATTCGTAAATAATTTCAATGTAATTATTTAATTGATAAATTGATTTTATATATCTTTTGTTTCAACTTTGTGTTATGTTTGTCTGCAGAGTCTGCAGGAGTCCTCAGAGAAGCTGAAGACTCAGGGGAAGGAGCTGAAGGAGGCGGACAGCCAGAGGAAAATGGCCATGCAGGAGTTTGCCGACGTGAGCGAGAAGGTGACAGAGCTGCGGTCATACAAGCAACGGCTCTCCCGACAGCTCCGGGACAAAGAAGAGGAGATGGATTCCCTCAATCAGAAGGTGGAGGCGCTGCGGCTAGAAGTGCGCAAATCTGAGCGGGCCAAGAAAGAGGTTAGTGTGGAGGAGAACAGCTGATCGCAGGAGTCTGTTCAGCGGGCTCATACATTACATTTGTGCAAACTCTGTGTCTGTGTGTGTAGATGGAGGCCCAGGCTGAAGAGTTTTCTGCTGAGACTCAGAAAGAGAAGAAGCTGAGGGAACGCAGTGAGCAGTACAGCAGACAGCTGGAAGAGGAGCTGGAGGGAATGAAGGTTTGTGTACCCAAACACACTTTTTCTGTCAAAATACTGTTAAGGGGGTTTTAGGAACAGTGCAACCCTTCAAGCATGGGAAATTTGCATAAGAGTAGCATGTGATGTTTGTTGGCTTGCTTTTATTAAATGGCAACAACCGCAATATAATAAGACTCAATTGTTTAATAAATTAAGTAATAATCACAGGTCAGTATGAAAGTGTGTAAAATTATTTAGTGCTGTCAAATCGATTAATTGCGATTAATCGCATCCAAAATAAATGTTTCTCTTTACAAAAAATGTGTGTGTACTGTGTATATTTAAAATATAGATTAATGTGTGTGTATTTATATATACATGTAAATATACACAGTACACACACATACATTAACATGTAAACATAAACTTTTATTTTGAATTCGATTAATCGTGATTAATCGCTTTGACACCCCTAATTTGAATGTAAGGATTTAAAATTAAAAACAGTTGAAATTGAGAGAAATTCATATAGCTGTAACAGTTAACTAGAAAAGCAAAGGTTGTCAATCTTTAAATGTCAGCTTCACAAAGCCTCATTTAAAAGGATAGATAGATAGATAGATAGATAGATGTATTTAGTGTTACCTTACTGTTATTCCAATTCAGATTATGTAAACAAACTTTTTAGTTTGGATGCAATTAATCATTCAACAGCACTAATTGTAATTAATATATATTTTAAATTTAATTATATAATTAATTAGTAGTTTTATTAGTTATTTGCATTCTTTTTAATATATTATCATATTATAATTATTGAAATGTAATAATTCAAGTGTTTTTATTGATTGTTTTATTCATTTTAATACACTATTATTCATCAATTATTTAAATAAGTTTGTAATTAATAAATGTTTAATTAATTTAATTGTTTTTGAATACATTATTTTATTATACTTCATAAGTTATTTAAATATAAGTATTTAATTCGTTGTATTAATTATTTTTTTATACATTATAAAGATTAATACATTATTTTAATTATTTAATTATTTTTGTTTTACTAATTTTAAAGCATAATTTTATTATAATTCATACATTATGTACCTTTAATTAATATCATTTTTTTTTTATTGATTATTCATTTGACTATATTATTTTTATTATAGTTCATACATTATTTACATCAATTAGTAAGCTATTTTATTATTACTTTCATGTAACTTGAAATAAGCTCTATTAAGGTCGCTGATAATTTCCTTATCTTTTCTTTCCCTGTGTCGTGGAGCAGAAGAAGCAGGTGGGCCGCTCTCCAAGCGTTGGGTCATCTGAGCAGCACAAGGAGCTCAGTAAATTACGAGCAGACCTGGAGAACAAGATCGCTTCCTATGAGGAAGAGCTGTCACGCCGAGAACAACAACATGCCAACGAACTGAAGAACCTGAAGAAGGAGCTGCGGGAGTCAGAGGGACAACAGCTCACCTTAAAGAAAGAAATCATGATGCTCAAAGACAAGCTGGAGAAGACCCGCCGAGAGAGGTACTGATCTTACTACAAGAGATTACGCTTTATTTTAGCTGTTTCTTTTAATACCACCATGTATTATTTTACTTTATAATTCAGGGTCAGAGAGGTTGGAATGTGGTCATGTAAAACTAAATTGCAATCGTTTTGTGGTGCAAGGAACCTTGACTAACATTATAAGTGGACTTCAGGGGAAGAAATAAAATACAGCGTAGATTATGTTCCATAAAATAAGCTATGGAGTTTGGCTTGTGTTAGTATGTTGGCAGTGTGTGTTAGATGCTGAGTGCAGTAACCCTGATGTTCAATAAATCATTTCACCCTCACAGTCGGAGCGAACGAGAGGAGTTTGAGACCGAGTACAAACAGAAGTACGAGAGAGAGCGAGTGGTGCTGTCAGAGGAGAACAAGAAACTTTCCAGCGAACTTGACAAGGTGAACATACACATTATTAGGGCTGTCATGATACCTTAAAGTCAACATGAAATTCAGCAGTTCATTTACTTAATGCGCTGATGCAGGTTATTTCAAAGAAATGCATTCGTAATTTTTTTTGAATGAAATAACTCGCTTAGACCTCTGTAATGACTTTGCTTTTCCACTGATGTCGTTTAGTCACCATAGGCAGTTGGATAAAGTAAACCAATAGCCAAACAGCTGTTTAGGCATTGCTGTAGGAAACTCATGTAGAGCGCTTCAGGGGTGGCATATTTTTGTTGGCCAGCCTCGAAGTTTGCATCACCCTGGTTCCCTCAACAAAAAGACAATTGGCTTTTGGATTATTGCAGAAAATACACTTTTGTGACTACCAAAAGTTTATGATTTTGACATGTTCTGTTCATAAATGAACACCGCTTTTATGAATTATGAAGGCAAGGTACAATCGGCAGAAGTTAAAAGCTGAAGTTGAACAAACTACACAACTATAACCTCTTTAGTCCCATTTAGCTACTTGTTAGCAACAGCCATTTTCAAGACAAGAAAAAGGTTTTTAAAAATCACAAGTGGGGAATTATTGATGTATTTCATCATAGAATATAACCTGAAAATATTTTGAGGTTGTGTTCACCAGAGACCTTATTTCAAGCATCTAACTAAAAGCCCATTTAAAAACTTAACTTTTCCAGGTTTTAAAACTTATGGCTGTCGCACTCTTTTCTTTATTTTGATATAAACTCTCGTTCTCCAATAATTTCCAATAAATAAAATAGGTAATAGTATAGGGACCAATTCTCACTATTAACTAGTTGCTTATTAGCATGCCTATTATTAACATATTGGCTGTTTATTAGTACTTATAAAGCACATATTCTGCCTGAGCATATTCTATATCCCCAATCCAACCAGATACCCAAACGTAACAACTACCTTATTAACTATTAATAAGCAGCAAATTAGAAGTTTACTGAGGCAAAAGTTGTAGTTAATGGTTTGTTAATAGCGAGAATTGCACCTTAAAATAAAGTGTGACCATAAAACCAAGTCTTGTCCCTAAACATTTTCTCACTAAATATTCTGTTTCAAACATCATATAAAAGTGGAATAGGTTAAAAGCTGCATTTCACTTTGGTTTAAATCATATCACACTCTATTAAACCAGCTGAAGTATCTCAGTGCTATTCATGTTTGGATGTTTCTTATAGCGTGTGATGAGTATTGTCATCTTAAGTCTTCTCGAATTACAGTCGATTATAAATTCTCACGTATTTGTCATCCTGTTCCTATATTGTTTTAGATTACTTCAGCCTAATTTTAAATGAAGCTTTTGGTGTGCAAACAATTGTAGATACTATACTTACAGCGCTGGATACTGTAAAATTGTACTACCATTTTGTGGCGCACCAGTGTTTTTAGGCTTGGATACTATGACACTGCTGTAGCTCCAGGATGCTGTGTAACATTAACTCACCACCCCACACATCGACCCACAACCCTGAAACCACAACCTCCATCTCTCATATTACTGAAGCCTGAAGTCACAGATTCCACATCGCTTTTGATGTGGTCATTTCACTAAAGATGACAGGAGGCTTCGCGTCTTAGCGGTCAGAGTTGATGCTCTTTGTTAAAACTAGGAATTAATTCTGGGTATCGTTTCTGAGCGCTTCAAACGGAGTGTAAAGCACACAGAGTGGTTAAAAGAAAGGCTTGTGTGCGTGTAGCGGTTCTTAGCTCTCAGCGAGCCTGACGGCAAAGCTAGAGATGTTTAGAGAGGAACCCTTGGAGGGCAACACTCAGTTGTGAAAGAAAGAAAACATGCCGCTGTCATTTGCGGACTAAAATGTTGCGGTCTTTCCATGAGTCCGTTGAGCTGAAGAGATGGTCCACCGTGCCAATGTTTTACTGGGAAGTCAGTCAGCATCCTCCCCCCTTTGTAAGCACAGGGAAATATGCTGATCAACAGACAGGGATCTGGAACGCTTTTCCCGAGGACCACAGTGAAGGTTCAGCGCTCCGGTCAGAGCGTAGTGTTGAATGAAAACCTCGGATAATGCAAGCGTAATTATAAGGGTGGTCAAGATAGAGAGTGCGTCTAAATCAGATTGACTAGATGCGTGTACTAGCAGACGTGTTTACTGTGGAGTCAACCGAGCCGTTGCAGATGGAGGGGGTCATGCTTATTCATGAGTGTTTGGTGGTTTAGGGGTATTACAGTGACACGGGTGGCTTTGCATGGTGGTCCATCCAGCAGGCTCTGATGAGAGCCAGTCGTTGTCTCTCTGGTCCATATAATTGCATCTGGCCCCTCAAATTGCCGTATTGGTTTGTGATTTTCTGACATGGTAATGGGCATGTTTTCGAGCTTGTTGTGTTACATGGGTTGTGCAGAAGTAAAAGCCTCAAATGAGGATTGTTTTCCATTCACTGAAATAGAAATTGGTTCGAGATGTGCTGAATTACATTATGATACATTTAAAGCTGCAGTCTGTAACTTTTGGCGCTCTAGCGGTTAATAAACAGAACTGCATGCGTTTTGCAAAAGAACATTGTAGCCGGAGCTACTTCTCTCTGTTTATGTCTATGACAAGTCATGCAGGTACTGGGCTACTCCGCGGTGGTTTCTACAAGAACCAGTCTAAAATAGTTAGAATAATAAAAACTAATTGTAGGTGTACTGTAGTGATTCAGGATAAGCCAAAAACACGGCTTGGAAAATGGATTCATGATGTACTCGCTTCGCTTGTTATATACATTTTGTACACTTTGACTGCAGCTTAAATGCATCCTTGGTGAATAAAAGTAGAATAAAAGAAAAAAAAGTGAATAAAATCTTGTGATCAGTAGTGTGTTTTTGTGTGTGTAGATGATGTCTTCATTTGAGAAGTTGAGCTGCAGTAACAAACAGCTGGAGGAGGAGATGAGAGAACTGGCTGATAAGAAAGAGAGTGTGACCCACTGGGAGGCCCAGATCACAGAAATCATTCAATGGTGAGAAACACACATAACATGCACACACACGATTACCTTGCTGTTCACGCTTGTGTGTAAAACTGGAATCAGCTCTTTTAGACTTTGTCCTGTGTCCTGGTTCAAATTTTTACCTGGTTCTGGTAAAAATTTATTACTAGATAGGCATAGAGTACAATATTATAAAATACATTTTTTTAAATAACATTAAAAATCAAATAAATTCACCATTTTAGCCCACACATCTTAAATTTGCGGTGCACTTTGGCACTTTTCAGTGGCATTTTTGCCCTCAAACCCTGGTTAATTTTTTACCCTCTTGTAGCTTTTTATTCGTAAGATTGTCTTTTTTTGATGTCGCTACAAGTTTGATTTTTTCAGACATTTGAATCCTCAAAAGTATAGCTATTTCAAACATACACAATTGGTATTTACAAAAAACTTTACTTGTGCTTTTCGATGAGTTCTTGATTAAAATTTTAATGGCTCCACCTAATGCATCAGTAAATTTGCAGGATGTACAAATCCAGAGCTTGAAGCCAAAAAGGCATAAGTGCAAGGGTGTAGGATTGATCAGCAGTGGGGTGGGGACCCATTATAAACCCTATCAGCTTGATAAATACTTAAGTGACAGCATTAGCCCAGTAGTTAAGTAGGTATTCACCATAGCAGATCATCACTTTAATGTGCATTCAGTCTAAGGCTTGAAGCAACTGGCTGGAAGAAGCTTCTGCATAGTCCTCAAGTCATTTTGTTTTGTTTTCTCTGCACAGTGCCTGAAAATACTAACATGTAATGAATATTTCCCAAAAAGTTGTGAAAAAGGTTTATTATGGTTGCTACTCCCTGCATAATTGCAATTAAACTGATGCTACTTTTGCACCAAACCCTAGGTATTTGTGTAGCCGTGGGGCCATCTAGTGGTGATGTTTTGTAAGTGCAGTTCTGAGCATCTGTGTTTCTCTCTCAGGGTCAGTGATGAGAAAGACGCTCGAGGTTATCTGCAGGCTTTAGCCACTAAGATGACAGAAGAACTGGAAGGCATGAGGAACGCCAGTCTAGGTGCACGTGCTACTGTAAGTGTCCTTTTAAAACTAAACTTTGATCTTGACTGTAAACTTAGTGCTTAGTGTTAGAAATGCACTGTAGCATGAGCGAGTAATGCAGTTTATTCTAAAGAGCGTTCTTCTCAAACCTTAATTGTTTGCATCAAATCTTACTGCATGTTGTAAGCCAGTGGGTGTTGTGGTTTTCCAGGACATGCCATGGAAGATGAGACGTTTGGCTAAGCTGGACATGTCTGCGCGTCTGGAGCTGCAGTCTGCACTGGATGCCGAGATTAGAGCCAAACAAACCATCCAGGATGAGCTCAACAAAGTCAAGGCGTCACATATGGCCACTGAGTGGTAAAACATACATCTCTCTTTTCAAGCTTCCAATAGGTCATACCTGTCGATAGGAAATTATTTGATTGGTGTTATCTAGTAGATAATCCAGTGAATAGCTGGTAAGAATCAGCATTAGTTATCAACGGATATGGGTTTGACCAATGTCGATATCTGAAGAACATGATGGCCAGTTCCAATTTTGTGCAAATTTGATGATTGTTTATGAGATGTATGCATAAAGAGACCGATATATTTGTTTTATATTATATATACATTTGAATTGAATTTAAAACATGAGAAATGAAAAATGCGAACTTAGATATCTGTTAATTCTTTAAAGTCAGCATGAAATGAAAATTCACCTTATCTATCTATTTTCTAATTGCATGTTATTGATCTTATAGCAAACAATTCATTCACGCAAATGTTGATTTTATTTTTTGACCTAATTTTTAACTAAAAGTATAACTTCTCGCCCGTACAAACTTGCATTATTACAGTAAAATGTAAGCTTAGTGACTTGGTGTTCTATCCATCTGATGTTGATAAAATTTTGAGATTCACTCAAAAATGGTAGCAAACGATTGCAGTGCCAAGTTTACATATTTTCTTTTTCGATGATGATGTTACACTCGAATCAGTATCACAACACAGAAGATCTGTCTAGGCTTCCATTTCATCGTGGCTTTAATAATTCAGTAAAATGTTAATTGACCATTAGCCAGCATTGATGATCTAAAAATGGCCATATGTTGGCATATTAATCAGGCTATGCTCATCATTCTGTGTCTGATTTTTTTTCTGCACAGCAAGCTGGAGGAGTCAGAAAAGAAGAACCAGGACCTGCAGGCAGAGATCCAGAGGCTGAAACAGGAAACTGAGAGTCTGCGCACGTCGGAGCTACTTCTCTCTGTTTATGTCTATGACAAGTCATGCAGGTACTGGGCTACTCCGCGGTGGTTTCTACAAGAACCAGTCTAAAATAGTTAGAATAATAAAAACTAATTGTAGGTGTACTGTAGTGATTCAGGATAAGCCAAAAACACGGCTTGGAAAATGGATTCATGATGTACTCGCTTCGCTTGTTATATACATTTTGTACACTTTGACTGCAGCTTAAATGCATCCTTGGTGAATAAAAGTAGAATAAAAGAAAAAAAAGTGAATAAAATCTTGTGATCAGTAGTGTGTTTTTGTGTGTGTAGATGATGTCTTCATTTGAGAAGTTGAGCTGCAGTAACAAACAGCTGGAGGAGGAGATGAGAGAACTGGCTGATAAGAAAGAGAGTGTGACCCACTGGGAGGCCCAGATCACAGAAATCATTCAATGGTGAGAAACACACATAACATGCACACACACGATTACCTTGCTGTTCACGCTTGTGTGTAAAACTGGAATCAGCTCTTTTAGACTTTGTCCTGTGTCCTGGTTCAAATTTTTACCTGGTTCTGGTAAAAATTTATTACTAGATAGGCATAGAGTACAATATTATAAAATACATTTTTTTAAATAACATTAAAAATCAAATAAATTCACCATTTTAGCCCACACATCTTAAATTTGCGGTGCACTTTGGCACTTTTCAGTGGCATTTTTGCCCTCAAACCCTGGTTAATTTTTTACCCTCTTGTAGCTTTTTATTCGTAAGATTGTCTTTTTTTGATGTCGCTACAAGTTTGATTTTTTCAGACATTTGAATCCTCAAAAGTATAGCTATTTCAAACATACACAATTGGTATTTACAAAAAACTTTACTTGTGCTTTTCGATGAGTTCTTGATTAAAATTTTAATGGCTCCACCTAATGCATCAGTAAATTTGCAGGATGTACAAATCCAGAGCTTGAAGCCAAAAAGGCATAAGTGCAAGGGTGTAGGATTGATCAGCAGTGGGGTGGGGACCCATTATAAACCCTATCAGCTTGATAAATACTTAAGTGACAGCATTAGCCCAGTAGTTAAGTAGGTATTCACCATAGCAGATCATCACTTTAATGTGCATTCAGTCTAAGGCTTGAAGCAACTGGCTGGAAGAAGCTTCTGCATAGTCCTCAAGTCATTTTGTTTTGTTTTCTCTGCACAGTGCCTGAAAATACTAACATGTAATGAATATTTCCCAAAAAGTTGTGAAAAAGGTTTATTATGGTTGCTACTCCCTGCATAATTGCAATTAAACTGATGCTACTTTTGCACCAAACCCTAGGTATTTGTGTAGCCGTGGGGCCATCTAGTGGTGATGTTTTGTAAGTGCAGTTCTGAGCATCTGTGTTTCTCTCTCAGGGTCAGTGATGAGAAAGACGCTCGAGGTTATCTGCAGGCTTTAGCCACTAAGATGACAGAAGAACTGGAAGGCATGAGGAACGCCAGTCTAGGTGCACGTGCTACTGTAAGTGTCCTTTTAAAACTAAACTTTGATCTTGACTGTAAACTTAGTGCTTAGTGTTAGAAATGCACTGTAGCATGAGCGAGTAATGCAGTTTATTCTAAAGAGCGTTCTTCTCAAACCTTAATTGTTTGCATCAAATCTTACTGCATGTTGTAAGCCAGTGGGTGTTGTGGTTTTCCAGGACATGCCATGGAAGATGAGACGTTTGGCTAAGCTGGACATGTCTGCGCGTCTGGAGCTGCAGTCTGCACTGGATGCCGAGATTAGAGCCAAACAAACCATCCAGGATGAGCTCAACAAAGTCAAGGCGTCACATATGGCCACTGAGTGGTAAAACATACATCTCTCTTTTCAAGCTTCCAATAGGTCATACCTGTCGATAGGAAATTATTTGATTGGTGTTATCTAGTAGATAATCCAGTGAATAGCTGGTAAGAATCAGCATTAGTTATCAACGGATATGGGTTTGACCAATGTCGATATCTGAAGAACATGATGGCCAGTTCCAATTTTGTGCAAATTTGATGATTGTTTATGAGATGTATGCATAAAGAGACCGATATATTTGTTTTATATTATATATACATTTGAATTGAATTTAAAACATGAGAAATGAAAAATGCGAACTTAGATATCTGTTAATTCTTTAAAGTCAGCATGAAATGAAAATTCACCTTATCTATCTATTTTCTAATTGCATGTTATTGATCTTATAGCAAACAATTCATTCACGCAAATGTTGATTTTATTTTTTGACCTAATTTTTAACTAAAAGTATAACTTCTCGCCCGTACAAACTTGCATTATTACAGTAAAATGTAAGCTTAGTGACTTGGTGTTCTATCCATCTGATGTTGATAAAATTTTGAGATTCACTCAAAAATGGTAGCAAACGATTGCAGTGCCAAGTTTACATATTTTCTTTTTCGATGATGATGTTACACTCGAATCAGTATCACAACACAGAAGATCTGTCTAGGCTTCCATTTCATCGTGGCTTTAATAATTCAGTAAAATGTTAATTGACCATTAGCCAGCATTGATGATCTAAAAATGGCCATATGTTGGCATATTAATCAGGCTATGCTCATCATTCTGTGTCTGATTTTTTTTCTGCACAGCAAGCTGGAGGAGTCAGAAAAGAAGAACCAGGACCTGCAGGCAGAGATCCAGAGGCTGAAACAGGAAACTGAGAGTCTGCGCACGTCCAAAGGTAAAAACACAAACATTTGAAATCAATCAGGCAAAATTTTAGTGACAGGCCTGATATTGTTAAGACGGTGTATGCTCGTATGTAACATCTAAGTCATGTTATGTTTTTCAGGGGTCAAGCACCAAGACTCCCAGAATTCCTTCTTGGCATTCCTCAATGCTCCGACCTCGGCCCTGGATCAGTTTGATGTAGGTATTTAAAGCACTTGCATGTGGCTTTAGTTTAGGATTGCAGCTGACTGACTTTGTAACATTAATTTGTTCTGTCTGCTTTTTCATTTGTTATTCAGGGAAATTTGCTTTTATTGATATTTCTGTTTCCTCTCATATTCTCTTTAAATGATTTAGTGTGGATTAAATAACTGGCTGAAACACATTCTCAATTATTACTTCTGGGCTTTTGAGACAGTAATTTTAAAAGCAAGTGAGCTTGTGTGTGTGTGTGTGTGTGTGTGAATCCTATTTTCTGTGTTCATATATTGTTGGCTCTCTTTTTATTTCTTTCTCTCCTCTTATCTGTCTGTTTTTGTCTGTGATGAAGCGCTCCACTGCCTGTGGGCCGGCCGGCAAAGGCAGACGTGTAAGCTCCTTTTGTGTATTTGGTGAAGTGGTTCAACTCTACAATGATTGAACTGCGTGACTTTGATGCATGTCTGCGGTGTTACTGCATGGCATAAGTGACATACCCCCATTTCCCAGGGGGTTTTTCAAGTACACATGCTTGTTTGTCACATTCAGGGTCCATTTCAGCTTGGTTTGTCTTCATCCTACACATTTGGACTGGTGGTCGACCGATATATCGCCAAGGCCGATATATCGGCCGATATTTGGCATCTTTTTCGATGATGATGTTACACTCGAATCAGTATCACAACACAGAAGATCTGTCTAGGCTTCCATTTCATCGTGGCTTTAATAATTCAGTAAAATGTTAATTGACCATTAGCCAGCATTGATGATCTAAAAATGGCCATATGTTGGCATATTAATCAGGCTATGCTCATCATTCTGTGTCTGATTTTTTTTCTGCACAGCAAGCTGGAGGAGTCAGAAAAGAAGAACCAGGACCTGCAGGCAGAGATCCAGAGGCTGAAACAGGAAACTGAGAGTCTGCGCACGTCCAAAGGTAAAAACACAAACATTTGAAATCAATCAGGCAAAATTTCAGTGACAGGCCTGATATTGTTTAGACGGTTTATGCGTGTATGTGACATCTAAGTCATGTTATGTTTTTCAGGGGTCAAGCACCAAGACTCCCAGAATTCCTTCTTGGCATTCCTCAATGCTCCGACCTCGGCCCTGGATCAGTTTGATGTAGGTATTTAAAGCACTTGCATGTGGCTTTAGTTTAGGATTGCAGCTGACTGACTTTGTAACATTAATTTGTTCTGTCTGCTTTTTCATTTGTTATTCAGGGAAATTTGCTTTTATTGATATTTCTGTTTCCTCTCATATTCTCTTTAAATGATTTAGTGTGGATTAAATAACTGGCTGAAACACATTCTCAATTATTACTTCTGGGCTTTTGAGACAGTAATTTTAAAAGCAAGTGAGCTTGTGTGTGTGTGTGTGTGTGTGTGAATCCTATTTTCTGTGTTCATATATTGTTGGCTCTCTTTTTATTTCTTTCTCTCCTCTTATCTGTCTGTTTTTGTCTGTGATGAAGCGCTCCACTGCCTGTGGGCCGGCCGGCAAAGGCAGACGTGTAAGCTCCTTTTGTGTATTTGGTGAAGTGGTTCAACTCTACAATGATTGAACTGCGTGACTTTGATGCATGTCTGCGGTGTTACTGCATGGCATAAGTGACATACCCCCATTTCCCAGGGGGTTTTTCAAGTACACATGCTTGTTTGTCACATTCAGGGTCCATTTCAGCTTGGTTTGTCTTCATCCTACACATTTGGACTGGTGGTCGACCGATATATCGCCAAGGCCGATATATCGGCCGATATTTGGCACTTTTCAAATATCGGCATCGGTCGATAAGTTTTTCTGGTTGGCCGATGTGTTTGAGGCGGGACTTTAATTTTGACGACGCGGCAGACTTTTATATTGACGGCGCTGAGTGAACGCCAGCGCCTGAGCGCACACTGCTCACATTCTCCCTCTTGTAGCGAACAAGAGTGAGAATGTGAGCAGTGTCGTCGTTCAGTTCTGTCTAATATGGATAGAAGTCTATCTAATAATCAGATAGAACTGTTAAACAAAGGAAT